CCTTTTTTTTGTTAAAGTTGATGATCATTGTAAAATGTCTGGCAGATAAATTGGCAAAATGTATGTTTTTAATATTTAAAGCTGCCTTAAATGTGTGGTGTAGTAAGTAGTAAGTAAATACATTTTCTAGTGAAATCAATAACTTTAAAAATGATCTCTTACTTGATGCGTAATTAACCCAGTGATGTGCTATCAGTATATAAAATACAATATCCTTCACAACTGAGTGTGAATAAAATTCCACTAATCAGTGACAGTTCATCATATCTATTTTGTACATATATTAGGAGAAGAGTAGGAGAAGAAGCAGAAAAAAGGACTTTGTACAGAAGCTTTAGCAGAAATCATATGAGAAAGTCATAGGCCCACATCCTTGCGCCCCCACTGCACACTAGGATAGACAGCCAACTTTTGTCGATAAGCCTCATCATAGAAAAACCATGACAGACCGCCAAAATGTTTGTAAGCTTCCAAAACATTATCCAGATGTTGAAACAGCCCAACACAAAGGTCAGGCTTCTTTTCACCCAAAACGCTAGCATAAACGCAGTAAGCCTGCAGACAGTTATTAACCTCCCTGGCGGTATGATTATTCAGGATTTTAGGTACCAAAAGCGGTACATTGTTTTTCAAGCAAATATGTTGTTTTACTGTGCAGGCCTGTAGTTCTTAGTAAATCCTAGGAATAACTCACCTAAATCTGTCCAAACAAGAGTCCAGTAGACATCCCGGGTATGTTAAAGTTTGAAAAACAAAATAATAAATTATAATATAACAAATAATTAGAAATAATTACACAAAACAATAATAATATAATAATAATAAATTTAATTAAATAATGTATTCAAACAAAAAACACTGACATCTGTCCAAGCAAGGGTGCAATATTACTTCAGTAAACATCTCGGGTATGGTAAACTTTGAAACAGGGGACAGCACAAAGTCCGACGTCACAATCGGGGCAATGGAACCTGGTCTCTTTTCTGATTTTTTTGCCGCTGTCATCGCGCCTTGAGCAGCAAACTACGCACAACCTTGTGGGTGCTGACTTTCTTTCTGTTGGAGGGACGTACTCCATAAAGTGACGACCAGTCAGGCGTTCTGGGTTGACTACGCCAACAGCACGACGTCCAGGTCTACTCGCTGATGGCGTTTGGTGGTTCGAAAAGATTTCTTCGGAAATTTTCCAGATGAAGTCTGAATGCGATATCGCTATTTTCTAGCTGCTCAAAAAACGCTTTTGACCTCAGCGGACGCTTGTTTGATGCCATGAACGCTGTCAAGTTTTCCAGGCAAATATAATAGTAAAAGTGCAGGAAGAACACTGGTACTATCTATAGGAACAAAGCTGAGCTGAAATAATTCGTTACAGTATCGAAAAAGTAACGAAATACAATGTATTAGTATATGTATGTGGTGTTTCACTTTTGAATTTCGCGCCGGATCCGCCTCCTTACGACGCTGACGTTAGCGTACGCTGGAGACGGATGCCGGCATTGTGCGAAGGAGACGCCGAGATGCCGCGAAGATCGAGGGACAAGGTTAGTGTGATTTCAGGGTATTCCCGAGTGTGGCTCGGGGTTACCGCTCCTAGCTAGGAAATTTAACCCCGAGCCACACTCGGGAATACCGCCAGGGAGGTTAAACAAATTAGCGAAAGGCCTCCTGCGTTTCTCTACAGCATCTTTATCATCCTTGGAAATTAACTCCTTTAAAGAAGGCAACAAGGAAAGTATTTCAACATAATCACCACTAACAATTTTCTCCTTCAGAGAAGCAGAAAGATGACGGAAACAGGCTTGGAGTCCTTTAGTTCCGTTCCCCTACGAACGGACCTGCAGGCAGAGACACTCCGGCTTTGTTCCTGGGATATCGGCTCATGCGACAGAGAGGAGCTGCAGCCAACGGACACCCGGCTGGCATCAGCAGAGCGACAATCAGCGACAGGCAGAGGAGCAGGCAAAGAGATATCAGCAGCAGGAGAATCCATAGAGGTAAATAGCAGTCCTGAAGCTCCTGGAACACACAGAGCCGGTGAGACAAAAGCCCAAAACTCAGCTGTGGAAATGAGGGGCACAGACATAGAGCCAGCAATAGATTCTGGGACAACATCAGCCACAGCAGCTTCAGCCGAAGTTAGCACAGGTGAGCGTGAAGCTGCCGAAATGGGGAAGCTAGATAAGCAGCTCCTCAGCCAAGCCCCTCCCCCAGGTGAATTAGCCCCTAAGAAGAAATTCATGCAGCAAATCCATGATGAATCCAGAAGCAAATCCAGAGATGAAGTTGATCTGACTACTCCTGCTAGACTCAGTAGATCGGGAGGTGAGCGAACACATACCGGGTTCACTCGCCTCTCGATCCTGTCACGGCTCTCTGCCGTGACAGGGGGAGGGGCTGGATTCCCCTCTCCCCGCTCCAATCTGCCAGCGCTGACTGGCGGAACGGACGGGGGAGGGGGCGGGTACAGCTGGCTCTGCCTCTAGATACGCAGAGCCAGCTGTCACTCACGCAGCTGGGCGGATCCCGTCATCTAAGTCGGCGTCCCGTCATCTAAGTCCGCTCCGGCGTCTCTGTATACCGCGAGCTGTAGCTCGCGGTATACTGAGCTTAGGGTAACGGGAGGACGCTAGTTTGTGTCCTCCCGTTACCCTAAGGAGAACTATGGGGAAAAACACTGACCCCATAGTTCTCCTTTAATGATTAAATTGCACCCAGTGTATCCTCAGTCAAATATCTTACCTATGATCAGGCTTTGCCCGTGATCCGGTCTTTTGGTCCAGGTGCTTTGCTGGCGAAGTCTGATGTGAAATCTGCTTTTAGGTTGTTACCAATTTGTCCTGGGTCTTTTAATTCCCTGGGTTTTGAATTTGAAGGGGGCATTATTTTTTGACCGTTGTCTTACTATTAGTTGTTCACTGTCTTGCTTGTATTTTTAATTGTTTTCCTCTTTTCTGGAATGGATGGTGAGGCTGTTAATGCCCTGAGGGTGCTGTCCATTATCTTGATGATTGTTGTTTGTGGGTCCTGGTTGTTCTAATGCTTGCTGTAGGTTAGGGTGGACTTGTTGGTATGGCAGCAGTTCTTATCCACCTATAATTCGTTCTTTATGGCAGGAGGAATTTGTATTGGATGAGCATTTTCAGTTGTTTACTGATGCAGCAGGCTCTGTTGGTTTTGGTGCATTTTGGGCTGGGCAGTGGTGTGCTGACACTTGGTCACCTGTTTGGCATGCTCTCTGTGTTACCAGAAATATTATTTTGTTGGAGCTCTTCCCAGTGGTAGTGGCAATGGAGCTTTGGAAGGAGTCTATTCGTAACAAGCGTATTTTGCTGCAAACTGACAACAAAGGGGTGCTTTTTGCTGCAAATTGTTTGTCCTCTAAGTCTCCTTTGGTTCTATCTTTGCTTAGATACTTAGTTTTGTTGTGTCTTCGATTTAATGTTTGGTTGAAGGCTCAGTATCTTCCTGGCAAATGTATTCTTGTTGCGGATGCTCTTTCTCGCCAGAATTTTCAGCGTTTCTGTGCGTTGGCTCCTGGGGCTGGGTATGCAGTGTCCGGCTCATCTGTACCAATTGATTTGCAGCTAGTTTCCTCCATGGTCCTCGCTTCTGTCGCTACAAAAACAAGGGTTGCTTATGTGGCTGCTTGGCAACAGTGGGTGGAGTTTGTTTCTGTCATCGGCGCTTCTCCTTTTGCAGATTATTCGGATTTAATATTGTCTTTTGTATGCAATTTATTTCCCATGTTTTTCCCATGCTTATGTTTACAAACTCTTGGCTGGTATTTCCTTTTTCCGTAGGCTTCAGGCAGGGCCGGACTGGGACTAAAAATAGGCCCGGGCATTTTAGACTGAGTAGCCCAATCATGTGACCACTGACAGGCCCCATCCCTCACAACAGGGGGCGGAGCCAAACACAGAAGCACAATCGAGGGGCAAGGCCGGCTACAAGTAAGTACCGGAGGGATACAGCTGACACACAAGCCTTGCTACAACCAATACACAAACCTTGCAAAAATATAGGAAGCTTGCTATAGAGAATATCTGTAAAAAATAAGTCAAGGCAACTGGACTTGCTGTATTTTACTTGAAGATGTTTCACTAGTCATCCAACCAGCTTTCTCAATTCAGAAATGTCTGAATTGAGAAAGCTGGTTGGATGGCCAGTGAAACGTGTCAGAGCTTTATACATTTAAAGCTATACATTTAAAACATTTAAAGCTCTGACAGTTTCCCCGACCTTTTAGAGGACGTGGTAGAGGCAGAGGTAACTATGGAGGGAATAATACACGTAGGACACGATGTTTCAATTGTGGACAAGAGGGACATTGGAGGAATGAATGTCCTAAACCCCAGAGGATGAATAATCCCCAGAATACATATGACACACACATACCGCCACAACAAGTCCAAAACCTAGATCCTGCTCCGGGACCTAGACACCACATTTCTTGGACATAGGGACGCCCGGAGAGTGTTAGTAGCCCTGTCTTTCCCCTCCTGACATCGCAATCCTCTGATCAACCTTTTTGCATGCTGCGAGTAGACGGGAGGGTTTTAACTTTTCTGGTGGATACGGGAGCTACCAAATCTTCTTTATGCACCGATTATTATGAGGGCCACACAGAACCTTCATCACTCTCTATGGGAATTACAGGGGTTCTAGTACCAACACAGAAAACACCACCATTAACTGTACAGACATTACATCCCGACCCTTATTGCTATGAGGGTCGCGCTGTTGTCTGCTTACACAGTTTTTGCATAATACCAGGTTGCCCGGTGAATCTTCTGGGCAAAGACTTGCTGGGAAAATTACAAGCTACCATAGTATTTACTCCGGCTGGAGGAATGACCACAGATAGTGACATTATCCCTATCATTCCTTATGACCAAGAAGAACCAACATATGACACTGCAAAACACTATATGTCTGCTGTATTGCCTGAAGTCCCTGATAGTGTTTGGGCTAATTCTAAAACTGATGTGGGACTAATTAACTGTACCCCTTATCAGGCACGGCTAAAGGAGGGAGGTTTTCCAGTATTTATTAAACAATACTCTTTGTCACAAGAAAAGAAAGAAGGGATTAGACCTTTAACACAAAGTTTTGTGGAACAAGGAATCTTGAAACCTGTTGTTTCTCCTTACAACACACCAATCAACCCTGTCCCTAAAGCTAATGGAGAATTCAGATTTGTACAAGATCTCAGAGCTATAAACAGTTTAGTGATACCTATAGCACTCATTGTACCAGATGTTACTGCTTTAATTACAGCCATACCGGCAGATGCTTCTCATGTTACGGTGATTGATTTAAGTAATGCTTTTTTTTCGGTCCCAGTTGACACACAGCTACTTATGGCTTTCACTTTTGAGGGGGTACAGTTTACCTGGACCCGCCTTCCCCAGGGCTATGTGGACTCACTGGCAGTATATTTGCTGGTGCTCCATCAAACTCTGAGGCAGTGGAATGCAGAACATGGTTCAGTCCTCCTTCAGTACGTGGATGACCTACTGTTGTGTAGTCCCAGTCAGGAGGCTTGCTATAAAGACACTGTGTCATTGCTCAAATACCTTGCCAATGAAGGACATAAAGTAGCAAAGCCAAAGCTACAACTTTGCCAGCAACAAGTTGAATACTTGGGATTTGTTTTGAGAAAAGGACAGTGAAAACTCAGCCCAAAGAGAGTCAATGCTATCAGCCACCTTCCCAAACCTGTCACACAGAAGGAGTTGCTCACCTTCCTGGGAATGATAAACTATTGCAGACAATGGATACCTGATTGTTCCTACTATGACTCTATTCTCAGAACGGCTGTTAAGGGGGGCAGCCCAGTTTTCATTGTATGGTCTGAGGAAACGACTGGTGCTTTTGTCAAACTAAAATCAAGCCTTTTGCAAGCCCCTGCCTTGGGACTTCCTGATTATAATAGACTGTTCATTTCCAGATGCATTAACTGCATACAGGCTAATCCCAATACACCAAACAAGCCATGCCATGAGCACTTAGCACCACCTACAGGACCTTTTACACATCTACAGATTGATTTTACACACATCCCTAAGACGGGAAAGAGACAACAATACTTATTGGTCATAGTGGATCATTTTTCTAAATGGCCAGAAGCATTTGTGACTAATAAGGAAGATGCTAGGACAGTAGTAAAAATACTAGCAACAGAAATAATTCCTAGATACGGCTGTCCAATCCAGATTAACTCTGACAATGGCCCTGCCTTTGTTAGCAAAATGACCCAGGAGCTGTGTAAATGGCTACAGAATACATGGAAGTTTCCCATTCCCTATCACCCCCATAGTGCTGGGGTTGTGGAACGCCTTAATATAACTATTAAAGGAAAACTCCGGAAGGCAACAGGGGCACAATTGACTAATTGGCAACATTACCTTCCAGCTGTTCTAGCTGAGATAAGAATGACGTCTAATAAAACTACTAGGTTGTCATCATTTGAGATACTCATGGGAAGACCATTTACAACCCCATGGGCCAAGGCACCATTGGTTGTTATGCCTGGGGATATACAGTTTATCCAGGAAGAATATGTGTTCCAACTTATTCGCAAATTGAACGGCATCTATGGTGATGTATCTTCTCGTTTACCTTTTACTTCACAGGAACCAACACATCCTTTCAAACCTGGAGATCTGGTCTGCATGAGACAGCTGAATAAAAGCAAGAAAGGTGGATTTCCTTTTGGACCTCCGACCACAGTAGTATCAGTCACCAGAACCGCAGTTCTGGTAGAAGATCAACAAACCTGGATCCATGCTTCCCGTGTCAAGCTCTGCACCAAGAGGGGAGAAGTAGGAGCCAGGATTCCTGAAACAGACGATCCAAGACGAAGAGGGGAAACCAAGTGTTAAACAGGTGTTAAAGACTCTGAAGAACCAGAAGATGTCTTATATTCTTCATTCCCAGTACTCTGGGAAGGTGCTTGCACCATTGTGTGCCATAGGCCTGCTTGTTTTCCTCCCCACATTATCACCCACATGATAATTCATGTGGGTGATAATAACAGGTGCTAACCTGTTATTATCACCCACATGAATTATCATTTTGTCCAAACAATATGCCTAATAAAACAACACATCATAGACAGACAAGGGATTTAACAGCAATAGATACCACATCACTCACTGACAAAATGTTGTTGTTGCAATTTAAATATGGATATGCTCAAAGGTAAATGTTGGGTATGTAGTAAGCTGCACCCCGAGACAATGCGAATTCCCTTAATAGCAGTCCCAGTGAATATCACTTCTTTTTTGAATGGAACCCCTTTAAGGAAATGGGAAGTTTTGGTAATTTCTTAGGCTCCATATTTTCATGGTTTAAGGAAGTAGGAATGTTAATACTGATGATTCTATTATGCTTACTGTTCATTTATCTACTCTGTGGTGTTGTGTGGCAATCCCACGGTAGAACTAGGGGTTGTAGTCACCCAGGACTCTCATCCAGAGGGACTGAGCAGTTCCAGGAAACAAATTATTTTGCTGGGAAAGAACTGGCTTTTCAGTTCTCTCCCTAGAAAACCTGGATTTGGTATGGGATCCTGGAACTGGGAGATTTCAAAGAGAATTGGGAGGGATGAAATCTCCATTCCTGGGTCCATTGTTTAATAGTGGCCAACACCTAATTGCACACCTGTGCACAGCACTTATGGGAACTGTGCTGGCTTGTGTTCTGGGCTCCAGCTGGGAAGAGGAACAGAGGTGTTCAGGAGTCAGGAGGACTCCACCCAGACGTCAGAGGGGAGCCAGGTGGCTGTGTGTGCTGGAGGCACCTCGAAGACAGCCGAGGAGACAGAGAGCCAGTGATACATAAGGGATGTGTTTAAGAGTGCCACGAGAGGTGGACTGTGGCTCTGTTAAGAAATACCCTAATGTCCAGGGACTGGGACACAAGGAGTATGTGCAACAACATGGAGTGGTGAGATTGTCATACCATCAGTTTAGCTGAAATACAAGCAGACCTTGTATTATCGTTGAAGCTTTGTTTTCTGTTGCTGAATTAAATAAAAGACTGTTCTGTTTATGTTTAAAACGGCTTCAAGACTGTTCCTTAAGCGCTCACTATTTGTGCTAACCACCCCAACGTCACAACTCATTAAATGTTGCTTGTGTGTTTACCAGAAAGCACAGAAATATGATGATCCGTACTAGTTGCTTAACCTCTTGCCGTCCGCCCGTTAAGAAAAAACAGACGGACGGCAGACTTGCAGCCGCGGGTTGCCGTCGCCAGACGGCATTTTTTTCCGGGCAGGAAAGACCCGCTCGTTACTACAGCCGTTAACGGCTGTTTCACATACAACCGATCAGCGGCTCTATAGCCACCGATCGGTTGTATGGCGTGAATTTCGGAGCGCCCCCCCAATCGCGAGTGCCGCCA